AATTATTAAAATGTTACAATACAATATCTAAAAGGTTCGAAACAACAGAGATACATCAGGGAATCATAGAGAACGAATTTAAAGCAATATAGATATATTGTTGAATATCGGATCGATATCGAAATTAAAAACTTGCATTTGAGATGGTCGTTGGGAAACCATTTAAAGTACCCTGGAAAGAAGAAAAAAGGAGTCCATTTTAGCACCATGTTGAAACGGCTTTAGATAAAATAGAAAATTAGACGATTTGAAAAATATATCACGGGACGAGACTGGATGATTTGCATTTTTACTTATTTTAAAAGCATTTTTCTGGTTAAAACGGTTAAAGCCTCTTAGAGGAATATCCGTTAATTCACTTTGATAGAATCAGTTTTGTCCAGAAGGAAGGAAAAGCAAACACATAATCATGGTCCCATTTTGGAGATGACGAACACAGAAAACCATATCCATTTTAAAGCGCTGTCGGTAAATTAATTCTATAAATAGGGTATTAAAACCAAATCGAAGTTGTTATTAATGACTGAATGCTTTTATTTGCTATAGTTTCACAGATCACTGAAATGAGTTTTAACTCTGCCTAGGACTTGGAAACAAAAACATAAAGTTCTGTTGCACTTGGAACTTAGCTAAAGGGAAAAAAATTACTGATTGATCCTCGTTTGCTTGTGATTTTAAAACTTGAAAACAAAAAGACGTTAAAAAGATGATTAAGAACACGCGATTAATAAAGGCACTGCCAAAATTTCAGCTTGAAAATTAAATTTATCTAAGGTCGCAAAAGACGATCCGGAAATCATATTTGTCGAGATTACATCAGTTAGTTTTCCGACTTAAACAAGAACACGTGATCAACTTGCCCTAATATCTGTCGTATAAAATTATAGTTGAATGAAACCTTAATATTATTTTAGGCAGTTATAAAACCTTATGAATACCAAAGAAACGACACATTGGTTTTGTAAAAGCCAACAGATAATAAAAATTCTATTTCTTTTGTTCTCGTGAGTTGGTCTTTGTGCTCACAACAAAACTACTCGATCAACGAGGGTACCTATTTACCAAGGATGCCTATAAAAGATGTCCTTGTTTCGAAAATCACATAATTTTCAATACATGATAACTATCTTCCTATGCAAATTGGAAAAGTTTCTTTACTTTACTGAGAAAAGAGACGGTTTCCCACGCGGGTTTAACGCGCGCGCAGAAACGGTCTGTCTGCATTGGTTTATTTTGTGCGTGCGTGGACTCTTCGCTTCAATCAAAACCTTCTTTAACTGTACCGTGAAGGAAAATCGTGATCGAGGATGTCATTGAGAAAACAATAATTTCTTAAGCAAGTTGAAACATGAAAATGAAATCTACTGATCATGAGTATGGCATTTGTTAACACAACACTATTCCGGCTCTTCAATGTTTCAGATAGATTTTAATTGATTAATGAACCACAATTAAACCTGATGACTCTTTTTCCCCTACTCATTGCATTCTGGCCCTTTGAAAATCCAATGATCTAAAAAATTTGCTGTTCGCGCAATTTCATAAATGGCGTTCTAAAATTTTGAGTCGTCAATAAGCTTAACCTAAGTGCGGGCTCCCTTATATGGAATAGAGAGAAAATGCAAAGGGCAAGTGGGCTATACAAAAAAGCATCGTGGTGGGATCGGGAAAGAACTCGTTTCTTGAAAGTAAACCTGTATGACGGGCCTGAGTTAAAACTAAATTTGAAAACAGTAGAGAGATTCGTAGCTCAAAAACCGTTTTAATCTTAATCACTTTGTGACTTTCTTATTTTTTTCAAAATTATCAATATCTCGGTCTAAATGAAAACACTACAAACAAAAGTGAGCTTTTCAGGCCCATTGTTGACAAACGGGCCCCAGGTCCCCTTTCACAAGTTCCCTTTTTTCCACCAAGGAACCTGGTTCGGGTTATCCTCAAAATTGGATGTGTTTTAAAAGAAAATTCAATTTTATTCCACATTTCAACAGGATGATGATTGAATATTCTAAAAGAATTGGGAAAATTATCCCAAAACGACCTTTGAACAGAGAAATGTAGAAACCTGGATTAAAATTTAACCCTAGGTTAGCGCTAATCGGCCCTCATACAACTGGGCACAGGAGTTGAGCATCGGAGTGCAAAAACCAGTTAAGTTTTAAATGATTTATCATGACCTTTTTTCCATTTTTTAAGTTCAAATCTACCAAAAATTTTCATAGACTATTCAAAAAATAGGCTTCATTTTACAATCTGTGTGTATGTATACAGGAGCAAACTCGCCGCAGGCCAGACTATTCCCGATGTTTTCCTATTTTTTTTAGTTCTGTATGATTTATGACTGAACAATCATATGGAAATTATTCTGTTTGGTTCCCGCGATGCAAAGAACAATAAATTAGAAAATATTACAGATTTCTTTAATTTTTTTTTTTTTCTGTTTAGGCTTTACAAGTCGCTAAGAAGCCTTAACTTGATTGAAATTGCAGATTTACTGTCTCGCTCATACAGCTTATGTACGTTGCTGAGTCAGAATCACTGTTACAGCTCCTAATTGAAGTTCACCACATGCAAACTTTCGCGATCCACGCGCAATAACACAGCCCACGCGCGATATCAGACGGCACGTGCAAGAACGTTAAAACATTGCGTGTTTGCGTGCTGCTGTCTTTGTGACCTTGTTACAAGAGCATGGGTGAAAGTTTTAGAGAATTTGCCGGTACTAAGAAATATTCCATGTGTATGGTAATGCACAAGGAAACTTCCAAGCGTTTTTTGATGGAAAAAATTCATTTGTACGGGTTATTTATCTATAACATTCATTGTAACCTTATTTTTTTTTCTGTCAATGAAAATATGTTAAAAAAAAAGTGGTAGAAAACGAAAATGTAAACCATGTTTTCACTGATTTCATTTTCGAAAACACGTCATGCGTTTTCAATATCCGATCTATTTTTGTTTTACAGATTTAATCTCTTTCAACTTGTTTCTAATGGCAAGCTCTTTCTGATGTTTATGTCCTTAATACACACCAGCTGGAAAAATCGGTTTATTTACGATCCATAAATGGCAGTTTCACATTTAAATCTTCCGAAAAAGAAAAACACTGGTAAATTTACATACGATATCAAATTTGAATTGGAGAAAATTATTCCCGGCGGTTGGAGTGAGCGAGGGAGACCTTTGTTCTTTACGCAAGTCGACGAAAATCGGAAATCACCTTTTTTCATCCCAATAAGTTGATTTAAACGAGTAGAGGACATTTCAATGGAGCATTTACCGGCGTTTATAAGAAATTCAAAAAGATCGTAAATCGACGGCCATTACCTGTTTTTTTCCCTTTTAAAAACGAGCTATAAGCGAAAGCGACAGACCCGAAACCAGTGTAGCCATCAAAATTTTGGGTCCCAAAAAAGACCCGTAAAAATGTGCCACTTTGTTGCAGACAAAAACAATTATTTGATACAATTCTCCCGCTGTTTATTTCATAAACAAGGTCGCAGTTTCTACTGTGATTGGTTAGAGTTATAACAGCGTGTTATTTCACATCGACGCAGTACATAGAAAAGCTATTTATTACCGCATAAAGCAACAAAACTCAATTTAATCGCCACATTAATTTCACACGCGAAGTGAGTGCGATTCAAAATTAACAAATAATCTCTAGCATCAGAAAATATAACTACCCTGGCAAGAAGAAAAGCTTAATGGACACTAGAATGTCGCAATAAAACTCTGATGGAGCTATTAAGCTGTCTTTTCTACACATGAAGTATGTTATTTTTATCAAGACATAAAAATGTCATTATTTCGGCAAAAAGGCAAACTGCAACATTGGCGATTTACAAGAAAACGTCATTTAATTAAATTAGACCGCGGACACCATACTGAAAGGTACAAAAACTCTAAAAGCCTAGTCGTTGGAATTGGTGAAAAATGTTCCATAGTTCTTTTTTATTCGAGAAAAATATGGCAAAAAAAAATCGCATTTGATTTCAACTAGCGCAGAATATTTGAAAGCTTTGAAACAACGCACTTAGCGACTTGTCTTAGGCAATAGAGCCACCAGAAAAAAGAGAAAACGGGTTTTTTTTTTCTTGTTACTATCTCGCAGGCGTTTCAATGCAGCTGGACAAAACCACGTGTTTTAAAAATGTAGCAAAATAAAAGTTCCGAGCTGAAAAAAAATGCGTTAGACATTTTCCAGAAAAAACATTGGAACAAGACGAGCAAAACAAGTCAAAACGAAAAAAACTCGAGTAGCTCTCAAAGTTCGATTTAAAAGCTCTAGTTGAGTTTGAAAATAACCACGAGCAAGGCGATTGGAACTAACAGAAAAGCAGCTGTAGTGACATATATGTAGATCTACTAGCATATTTGACCACGGAGTGAAAGAGAACCTTATGAAAGTTTAATTTTAGCAAGCAATTGACTCAGGTTATACCATTCTAATGTTTTTTTCTCTCGAAATGAAAAGCGAAAAATCTATGGTAACGAAACCTCGCCGAAGCCAATGCTGAACTCTGTCAATGCTGAACATTGCTGGAGCTCTGAGCGTTTTGTGGCGCTAGGTAACGTTGAGTCACTGAATGGAATCTCGCCTAAACCCATCGTGTCTCTCTTTGAATTCTCTGCAACGATCTTATCTTGTCACAAACCAACATTAAAGCATCGACTTCTTAAAGTAACTCAACGCTTTTGCGATGTAGGAAGACTTCTGAAAATTTCGCTTCAAGCGCGCGAAAAGCGCTTCTAAAAATTTAAAAGAGAGATGAATTTACGGCCATGGAACGAGAAAAAAACATTACACAAAAGTTCATTTAGTATCGTACCAGAAGTTCGGTGGAGCGATGTACTCGATCATGATTGGTTGGCACGCAGAGACATTTAATTGTTAACCGGGCCAACTCGCGCCGCCATTGGCCAAAAACACTTGTGTTTATGATCCATTGTCTTACTGGCCGTTACAGGTGAATTGTGCCATTGTAATGTTGGTAATTTATAGTTAGCGCGAGAAAGGAAGCTCTTTCACTCATTCGCTTGTGAGCGAAACAACGGTCGCGCCAAGAGTACGCTACGGGATTTAAAGAAAAAAATATATTCACCGGCGAAATTTTAGAGGTACGTATAGGCATAAATTCGTAGATAATTAATTTTCTAAGCGGGAACGTACTTAAAAGCAATAGTACCGTGGGATGTAGCTAGTCTTAGCTTATTTACGACTGCTTATTTCCTAGCACTACTATAAGCTCCTGCAGATTTCCGTAAAATGTTCAGCAACGAGAGCAGCGACGGCAAACAATTGCAAGACTTCAGAAGTCGTGAAATGAGAAATCGTGTCCGAAATTACAAGAAACAGATGAAGACGCTGGAATACTCACGGCTTCGTTCGCTGGTTCCCTCCACAGCCTGTCGGCCTCGTGTCAGCAAGGTACGAAACTTTTAAGCCCGGCCTAAATTGCTAGCTTCTATCACTTGGAAAAAATTCAAAGACCAATTCTCCGTTAAAACTTAATTTTTTTTTTTAGATTGAAGTCATAGAGGAAGCGATCAAATACATTGCGTTTCTTCAAGCTACTCTGAGCTCTCGCTTGGAAGAATCTAACGAAAGTAGGTTTGAAATTGAAAAACCGCCGGAAATCCATTGCATTCAATCGTGCGCGCATTTTAAACTTGAGTGATTTTTTTCTCTCGCAGACAGCAATAGTCAAGAGACAGAAGAGCGGACAGAGAGCGAAAGAAAACCGAAAATTCTCAGGCAAAAAAGACAGCGTTTCGCTTCATATATGATTAAAACCCAAAAACACACTGTACCAGCGCGACGAAAATTTTCAAGTAAGTCTGCAGAAATCTGTGTTTTTCTTTCAGTTGTTTGAGAAGTTGAAACCTGGGGACTTTGCGCGGGCTTAGAGCGCGTTTGGGCCTAGGATTTGCGCGCTAGAAGGTAAAATATCGAGGATAAAAATTGGGTGATTCGTTTTTTTCATCCGGTAGTTGGGTTGGAAAATGCAGCTGCACATAAAAACAACATATGTCCCTTTGAGGCTCACAGCACCTGGCATTTGCTGCAAAATAAAGTTCCCTCGCGTTTTAAATAAATTGCTCCTAAATGCACCCGAACAGCTCCTAGCTTAAAAACTAGCTGAAAACGCGCGCTTTGAAAAATGTTTCAACACTTTCCTTAAAATTTCAGGTAAATTTAGTCAAGTTCACTGCCGTCTCTAAGTAACCAATTCTGGCTAAGGACGTATTTCAACCCTCGAACATGGAAATAAATATTCCAATATTATATCACAACCTTTTAACTTATTAAAATAAATTTACAATTTACATATCACTCCGAAAGGAAATTACGGTCTGTCTAGAGAATTTTTTCCAATACATAGCTACGGGTTTGAAATAAATATTCTTCTACCCGCACGTGAGGGATTTTTCGAGGGCTATCATCTTCGCCAATGAAAAGGAACGAAAAATAATGCAATTAAGATTCAGTAGCACCCTGGGAAAATTTAGACAGTACAAAATATTAATACGCTCATTTACTACACATTATGTTGTCTGAAGAGTAAACAATTTCTTGCTATTAAAATGCGACATTAGAAAGCTTTTATCTATCTCAAAATGTCTCTTTCTAATTTTTTTCAGGACAAAAGACAACAGAAAGCGAACAGCCAAGATAGAAAAGCCATTTTGTGTAGCTACAGTGCAAAATCGAATACGCAAAGATTAAACTAGTAGTTATATTATCAGTGAAAGCTGCTCGTTTGAGATGCAATTTTTTTTTCAAAGCTGTGCAGCTCACTTCAGTGCTGATGTACTGATTAGTTCTGAATTTAATTGTAGCATTCGCGCAGCTAAACCTCAAATCTTATTACATCGTGCGAAGATGTAAGGCCAAAAGTCGCTGTTCTGGAAGCAAGCGTATGAATCGCCAACAGAGAAAAAAGGAAAAAACATGTGAGGCTTGTACCTGTAAAATGCAAACCGGCAAAAACGGCTTTTAGTATTCCTAAATCTTATTAACTCCCAAGACTTCCTTTTCAGAAAAGCTCTGAAAAACCGTTCAGCTAATTTTACTTTCGACCAGTTTTCTACGTAAATGCAAATAAAAGGAAACTGAAACAGACCATCACGTGGTGAATGTGTTGTGCGTGTACGCATGTATAAAATCAAAAGTTTTGCTCAAAGCGCACATCGACAATCATTTCACGTAAGTTTGCTGTTTTAAAGTTTTAATTAAGGTCTCAGGAACTTATCAATGACCACTTCTGGTTCATCTTCAACGAGTTGAAAAAAAAATTTTAATTTCTGTTCCTCACCGAGCTCAAGTGGGTTACAGTTTTTGCTTTCAGAAAGGAAGTCTTAAGAAAGCCAATGCATGCTGAAACATTGAAACACATCATTCATCAGCTGGAAAATTCTCCTGTTCTAATCTCATTAAAGAAGGAAGAGGGCGGAAAATAACAAACATGAAACATTGACATGGTCGTTCAGAGAGATTTTTTCCTCTTTTTCCTTTAAATCAAACGGAACTCGAAATACTGCAGCGGAACTAATGTATTTATATCTCTATACGGCAAAGACATAATAAAATCTCTGAGGAATCTTCGAGTCAATTTTATAAACTGAACTAAAATAGAACTTGCGTAGTTTTCTTTTCTTTTTCCTTTTCACGTGGTCTTTTAGTCGTAAGAATTATTTCGGTTTCGGTATGAGTTACATCCGACTCCATATATTGCTGCTTTGAATCTATGAGATATGACCACGATGTTTTAGTTTCAAGGTTTCCAGTTTCTGCAATTCAGTTTTTACGTTTCAAGTCAGGTCTCTGCGATTTTTTGAAGAAACGTCCAACCTATCATCTCAAAAAGAACTCACCAGATGTAATAAATTCGCTGAATTTAAAATCAAAATATTTCAAACGCTCATTAATTGAGACAGACACTTTCAATCCCTTCGTTTAACACGAGGTCGATTTTTTCCGGCCATTAAGAGTAATATATGTGGATAAAAACGTGTTCATATCGCAAGAAGCTTATGTTCAACACAAAGCCAATTTTTGAACAAAAATGCGCTTGTGTTGATAAAAAGGCGTTATGTTATAATCACAAAAAGGGTGCGTTTAACACGAAGCCAATTTATTCTTAAAATGAGAAATGCACTCCTGTTGATAAAAACGCGTTTAATCCGCACTTCTAACCGCGAAGAAAGAAGACAATTTGCTTTGGGCACCTGGTTTACAAAAACAAAACGCTAATGCGAGAGAGAACCTTTGGACCCTGTCTGATCAACATAATTTGAAGCAGGGAAACATGAAGGAATAACATGTAATGTAAAGAACCCCTTAAAAAATTATCCAGAACCAAAACAAATCCCAGGCGCAGAGAATTAACACAACTGAACAGTCTTTGACGAAAATTTTATTCCAGAGGACACAATTTCCATTCATTGAAGGAGCACTTCTGAACAAAGATTAATCTATTTGTTGCAGTAAACGATAGGAACGGAACTAAAAAGTCAACGAAATTGTGAACCTCATCAACAGCAGACTTTGGTTTCGATTCCACTTCTCATCTGATAAGACCGCAATCAAATTTACAGTCACGTGTCATTTTTCCTGTCACAAGTATGTTTCGTTTTTGATTCATTTTACCAGACTTCCCCGTCCACCGACTGTAAGGTTCCGGTCTTCACTTACTTGAACCTCTGGACAATGACAGCATTTAAGAGATTCGCGTCAGAGAGTTTCTCTGTTTCATCCGATAGCTCTTTGTTAGGAAACGTCGTCATGAGAACAAAATTCTGCGTTGCCATTTGTGGCCTTGATCTGTGTGCCAGTCAGGTTTGGTTAAGGCAAATTAACTCAACCACCAAGATCTTATTAGCAATTCTCCTTATTATTTGCAATAAAACTCTTACGATGCTAGTTCGAAGAATTTGGTATTGGATCAACTAATAAACTCCTATCATTTTAATATTGCAGAGAATATTTCTGTTTTGGTCTATCATGGAAGTTAAACGGATATTCTTTGACTCTCAAAGGCGACCAGTGTCTGCACATAAAAAAAAAATCTAACCACATCTAGAGAAAATAGGGGACAGGAAGACGTAAATTTACTAAGAACTCGTACAATTAATTGAGATATATTACTAGGCGTTACACTGGAATCTACAACACGATACTGCTGCTAAACTTGCATGAGAACTCCTTCTTTAAATCTTAATTTCAAGTTCTGAACAGAACGACGGCGGATCATGAGCCAAAGTATGACAAAATAGGACTTTAGCTTCGAAATCTAGGGGAAGATCTTACAAGACCTGGCTATGATTTGGGAAGTTTGCTGAATGAAAAGTTATCCCAGTTTCTTACCTGTACAAACCACGATCATGTGATTGTGACTCGGAATGAAAAAAAGGAAGGGAACAACGTATCCAAAAGGAGATGAAAGGGCCTTCTTTTTCACCTTATCATAAATAATCGTCTTCTCTCAATATTACACAGAGTTACGCAAGGAAATACAATGTAAGAATAGAAAATGAAGGTAATTCTTGACTAGAAAGTATTGAATAGACGTTGACCAGGATCAGATATATATATGTAGTTAGTAGATCTTAAAATGTTACAGTACATTCTTGACAAAGGATACGCACAGATAAACCGACGAATATCTCCAACTGTATGTGAGTGATTGAATTTTGAGACCATACTACAAAACAAAACAATTCCGTCTGCAATTTTACATCTTTTCATAAGTTACTAAACGCTTTGGTTAGTCATTGTGTGGGTGAGTGAGGTGGGCGAATGTGGTCTCATTAGAAGGACAAATCAGATTTTCGAAACCAGAGTATTTTCCTCAGGGAAATGTTTTTCCGAAATGAGGAGTTTCGACGCGAACTAGTGGGGCTGACAAGCAAAACTGCGAAGGAATTGGAACGGAGAAGAAATTGGAAACCGACCCATACTAAGGAAAATGGGGTAGATGAATTAAATGAATTAAAATAGTCCTTTTTACAGTTGTGGGCTTGGTGGCCAAGCCTTTGAACAGGAGGGAGACTTAGGGTGACCTTGTTATGATAGAGATGTTGCTGCTTTTCAAATGCAAATAACTTTGTTCTCATGCTAACTAGATACAGGTCTCTATCACAACAGGGTCACCCTTAGCCTCACTCCTGTTCAAAGGATTGGCCACCAAGCCTGTAACTGTAAAAGGGAATATTAAATAGTACAATGGCAATGAAGAATAAAAAATAAACGGCCACGATGCGAAATGGAAGGAAACGAGCTGAATTGACAGCCGCGTCCCAAAATGCCAAGAAACAAGAGGAAATTACGGCTACGCCGGAAAATGGAAGGGGAAGTTGGGAAGACGTGGAAACAAACATTTGACCTTCATGACAAGAGTGCAGGAGGAGAGGGAGGGGGGCCGAGGGGGAGTGGGGTCAAATTGAAGCGTCATATGAAGTGTCATGAATCAATCCATTGGTTTCATGTCGCATTAGCACTACGTTGAAATCACTATGAAAACTAGGTCGGTAAAGAAACACTTTTTCTGTCAGCGTAACCGATGACAGGCCTTCTCTTTCGACGCCTGTTTAATCGCTATGGTTTTTTATTTTGCCTCGTGTACTTCTGCTGAGGCGAGTAAAAACTACTTTAGAGACAATATTTCTCCGAAAGTTTACAACAATTCCTTGGAGCAGCCTCTTCTGAACGTTAAATGAATCCGAAAATTATCGCAGATCGCCGAATAGGCCCGACTTATTCCGATTACCTCCGGTCATAAATAAAAGCAAAGTGTAACATATTTTGACAAACCGTGTTCCATCAGCCAATCTAATCTGTATACTGGTAACCGGCTGTGATTGGTCCAGTAGACTTGTCGCCATTGGTTGTGGAGTACTGGTGGAGGACTGGGAAGCTTGTTGTTCAGTTGAATGACTGAACTGCACGTCAGGAGTAGGGCTGAGAGATGAAAGAAAAATAACAACAACAATCTTTGGAGCAAAAAAAAAAAAAAAAAGAAAAAGAAATCGGACGAACAAGCCAGAGTAGGGATCAAAAAGCTCAGGACGAAGAAACTAACGAGTTACTGGACGAAAAAAAGACACAGTCTACGATCAAGAGAACAAAACGAAACAAAGAGGGAACAACTTGAAAGCACGAGGAAATAAAGAAATGAGATAGCGAGAGAAAGAGGCTACCATCTGAAACGACGGGATGAAAAATAAAAAAAGCAAATAACTCAAAAAATGAAGCGAGGAATTCTTGCACGTAGGCAGGTAACAAGTCCTCGCATAAACAGAAATTAAACTATGAATGACGACCAAGCTGCTTTGAGAGCCAAAGTGAATTGGAAAGAAGACACCAACCTTCCTAATTTGTGTCCCGCTCCTGAGAATGCTTGGAGTTTAGGTTTGGGGGGAGGGATGTATTCTTCATGCCTGTGATCTTCCATATTCACGTGCACTTCTCCTTTTCGGGACAATCTTAATAACTCTTGTGGAATTTCGCTGTGGACAGGACACATAAAAAATGCATTTAGGTCATAAAATTCAAAAGTGCTTTCGAGGCTTAAGACAACCTAATTCGTGACTCTCCATTCTAAGTTAGTTCAAAGACGCTGGATCAAAGGAAAAGATGTGAGACAAAGAAAGAGACTGAGTCCCAACAAGGAATCTCATTTCTTTTGATTTTGCGCTCCGACGCTCTCTATCCACCGCTACAGATTACAAATGATTAACAAAAAAAATTATACTCTAGTGTTTTCAAAATGTATCAAAATTCGGTATAATAAAGATGTCGTAAAATAGTTAAGGCTTTTCCTCGCGATGCAGTTTCTTCCAATATGGAGAACGGCGTTCGACTGCATTCTGCCAGTCTTCCTCACAGAGTACCGTTCTCGTGTACCACAGCATTACACGCGTTTGAAACGCGTGTAATTCCCACGCACGAGACGCAAGAAACACGCACAGTGCATGAACACACGCAGGTGAGAGTAAAATGCGAGTAAATTACACGAAATCAGCCAACTAGAACTCATTAAATGCGTTCAATGAGACAAACGTGCGGGTAATAATAGAAAAAAAAAACTGGGATCTTGATTCGCCAGAAAAATTTTCCGATGAGCATTAGTGTGTCACTGCACTTTGCTGGGTTCCTCTGGAGTAAAAAACGCGTTTATTCTCTTACCCTCGTCTGACAGAATCCAAAAACTGCTTGTTGGCTGGATCATCAAACGACCTCAGAGGTCCATTATCCACTGAAAATCCATTAGACCAGAACTTTAAGGCGACCTCTGTCTATAGAGGATTGTACGACAATGTCAATCAACTCGGCGAGTATGTTTCAGTAAAAAAAGAGGAAACAATTCGATTGTTCATAGAAATTGTTGACCCAGAAAATGTGTTTTTAGTGTTTGTGAAATGTCATTGTATTTTTTCGATTACATAAATTTCATATGACCTGTAGATTGAAGCTCAAGTAAAGCAAGGATCCTCGCAAAACGAGCTGTCATTTACATTTTCCCCCCACACTTGGCAGTAATGTCGCAATGTGATTGGCCAATTTGCCACTGCTGCTGACATATCACGCAACGTGTCACGCACTGAAAGAATCGTTTTATTTGAGGTCAATATTGCGGTAAAGAACACATCGACAATGGTTTATGTACTCTTATCGACAACGGTATTCGTCCTAACAGTCTTGTGGACTCACTCGACTGCGCCTCGCGAGTCCAACATAAATTATGACCACTGTGAAGACGAATATCGTTGTTGCGAGTACAGACCACGCCAAACCACTGTCGATCTGTTAAAATTGCAGAAACCTGAGGCAAAGAGAAAGCCGCTTTTGGAAAGAAGTGAACATAATAGAGATGTTTTTCAGAGCAGGTTCCACTGTGATCAGTAAATTGAAAAATATAAGATTGTTAATTTTGTCCTACAGGTTGCTGTGGTGCATCAGCCCTGGATGATAGCGTTTCAGGAAGGGGCTGTGAACTTTCCCCTTCTGTGTCTCCTAGACGATACCCTGCAAAAAAAAAAAAAAAAAAAAAAAAATGGAACCGACCATTGTCAGACGGGGTCTGATAAAGGAATACACCAATTAATTAGGATTTTAACCTGGATTTTATCTGTCAAAATGCTTCAGGCAGGAGTTGCCTTTCTTCCTAGGTGGAGAAAAAAGTTTGGCAAAAAAAGACACAAACAACAAACCAGTGTTGCTGTCTTTGTTGGGTAGGGAAACACTTTTTCCACCCGGAGAAACGATTTGGGGGGGGGAGGGGGNCACGATGACGGGGAGCATACTTGGAGAGCTCTATGTACATTCATTTATTTGTTTTCAGTTTGCAAAAGAGAAATCAGTGCCATAACCAAATAAAAAATGCAAAGCCTAACAATTCTGAATCATTTTGGGGCAAGGAGGCAGTGTGGCCGAGTGGTTAGAGTGTCGGACTTGTAATCCGCCGCTCCCGGGTTCGAATCCCACCCTGACCACTGGATCTGTTTCACGGTAGCCCCGAGTTCAGATCCTTGGCCACGCTTGTAAATAGCGAACTGGTTTGCCTCTGGCCGGTTGCAGTTCTTAATGATGTTATGTTCAATTTAGACCATTTGTTTCATTTGTTTGCAAGGACCACAATGGAAACTACTGGTTCACCAGTAATTGTGTAATCCTATAAAAAGACCTTTTTTTTTCTCTTTCAAAATGTTATTAACCTCCTATAAGTCCCAAGATCTAATTATTAATTCTCCCCACTAGCTGTTAGACATTTGCTTGTAACTTGGTTACAAGGAAATTGGTGTTAGATTAAGATAACAACTTCTACCTGATCAGTTTGAATATTCTCATTACCTGTTTGGTGAATAATGTATGGATATTCTAGGGAGAAGTTGCATGTTAATTTACTTTTTGATAAATTAGTTGGTTACCCATAGATGACACTGTACACATGAGAAAACTATTTATGTTACACAAGTTAGCCAGGGTCCTCAATATTTCAGTATTTCAATATTTCATATTTTTTCATATTTGAATATTTTATATTGTCCTGAATATTTCACCTCACATTCAGGGTTTTTGTTAAGAGCTGGTAATTGGTTATTTTGCCAGCTGTTAAAGTAAATGATACTGGCTATTACACTGAAACCTGGCAATGAAATATTTACCAAAGTTATCCAAAATTTTTTTCAATTTTTCAGAAAACTATCACCTGTATCTTTCAAACCAATGTTGTGAGAATATCTATCACATGTTACTGGTTTGAAAATACATCATATCTGAAGAAATTCTGTTTTTTTTTTTTTTTTTAACCAAATTCATCCCTTGCAGCCACCTCATGAAATGACTTCTGCCACGCTTCCTTTCCATTCTTGTCACAGCCAATGAAAAGGCCTAGTAGTTATAGAGGTGTCATGCTCGACAACATGGCATCCACAAAGGGGAAACCTGTCCTTAGACTCCAGTGGGGCCCACACACCCCCAGCATAGGGGGAGGGTAACAATGTTACCTGCTAATCCTTATTTTTTACCTCCCATGAAAAACCTTAGCAAGAACCCTGCATATTTTAAACATGTTAGGTCTACACCTGGTTATTGAACTAGATCTGCTATCAAATACCACAAGCTCCCCCCTTCCAATTGAAAGTCCATCACCATTATCATCATCATCAGCAACACTGTCACTGTCACTGTCACTATCAGGCCAATTTGCTTGTTCTATTTCAAGATGTGCTCATGAATTAAGCAACAGCATCTGACAAGTTCCATTACGTATTGTGCATAAATATGTGCTCCTGTTATTAGTGTTAACTGGGTTGCTGTAGTTACCTGGTAATATATCTCATTAGACATTTTGTTGTGTAGTATCGCTGAGTATTTTTACAAGTTGTGCCATATTTTGATGAGCCCTACATCAAAATACAAATAGTGAGTAAAAATACTCAGCGATACTACACAACAAAATGTCTGATAAGTTATTTATTATCCAACACACCAAACTGTTACTTCAGTGAGGGCGAATTTTGCGGACATTTATTTACAGGAGTGCGTGACAGAAGTATGCAAAGCAGAATGGAATTGGTGCGTTGTCGTGTTGCTGTTTCTTTTTTCTTCAATAAATGAAGAAATTTCCAGGTCGTCTAGTTGTTTTTCTTTGTTTGATTCATCTAATAAACTTGGATGTATATTTGCGGGCCATTCTGACTCTTCATCGTCGAAAATATGATTCAAATTGTCTGCCATTTTTTTCGTAACTACAATTCAATTCTTCACTTGCTCGATGTGAGAAAACCTGTTTAACCGGTACTCTACAGTACAAATACCGCGTGATATTTGTACTCGTCTATGGCCTTATTTGTACTCTACGAAGTGTAGTTGGATAATAAACTCTTTTACTTGTTGCCATTTTTTAAGCCTCTGCCAACTTTGTCACCACAATGCTTTGCTAATTTATCTTAGATAAATTGGGCAGATGTAATTGAATTTACTTTACTTCACCCTAAACCCTTTAACTGCCAAGATCTGATTGTTAATTTTCCCCTCTAGCTGCTACACATTTCCTTGAAAATGAGTCACAAGAATTTGGTGTTATATCAAGATAGCAACTTCTACTTGACAATAATTTTTGAGTATTCTCATTACCCATTTGCTAGATAAAGTATGGATATTATAGGGAGATGTTACACGTTTATCACTTCTAGGAGTTAAAGTGTTAAGAGTGACTAACATCTAACGTTTCCTTCTAATATCAGCCCTCAATCAAATGTTAAGCTTACGAGCAAAAAGAAAATGATCACCAGCCAAAGAAGGTTTTGATTGCTACACTAATTTTCCTTGTCAGCACCTTTTTAGGAAATGTATAGAGTACAGTGGAGGCATGGTGGCCTCATAGTTAGTGCGCTCGACTCTAGATCGAGTGGTCCAGGTTTGTGCCCTGGCCAGGACATTGTGTTGTGTTCTTAGGCAAGACACTTTACTCTCACAGTGCCTCTCTTCACCCAGGTGTATAAATGGGTACCGGCAAATTTAATGCTGGGGGTAACCCTGCGATGGACTGGCATCCCATCCAGGGGGGAGTAGATATACTCCTATTTGCTTCATGCTACAGAAACTGGAGTTAAGCACCGGCCTAATGGGCCACTACGCTCGTCAACAGACTTTACCTATAGACTACAGTATGGGCAATATGCATGCTGATTTTAGGCTGTGAAGGGATACACAATTAGATCAATTTTAGATACTCTTGGAAAAGTTACCTCTTTGCATCATCAAATATGCCCTGGGTAATATCACCTGATGTTTGTTTCTTTCTTGGTGGACCAAGAATTTGCTGTCCACTGCAAAAAAGAAAATAAATAAATAAACAAAAAAAATATGTAGACAAAGATGTTGTTTGTCTTGTCACAAGCATGGAACAAAGAAAAAATTCTGAATCCCCATGGGGAATTGAACCTTAGACTTTCAGATTCCCAAGGCTGTGCTCTAAGGAAAATTGAATGAAGCCCAGTGCTTTGAAACCGTGAAATCTAGGGTGCCCAGCATGTGCTTTGTATGAAAAAAACTAAAATTCCTGAGTCGCCCATGACCAAAAGTAAGGTACCGGGGTCCACCAGGTGCTGCTAGACCACAGCCTTGGATTCCGCACTCCAATGCTCTATCACTGACCCACAGGGACTCTGTGGTGAGCCATTATAAGGGTTCATATATGAAACATGTCCTGCATACTGCTAAGATCGGCAACGTCAATAGCATAATGTTTGTATATAGAATAACAAAGATCTTTATATAAACAAAATCTGAGGTGTAGCTGGACATTTGGCTAATGGCTAATGCCTACTGATGTAACTGTGTAAAAGGTTAAAAAGCATTCTAGATCTTGATGATCTTCAGTTTTTCAGTCCATCTTTCCCTTCACCATCAAAAGATCGATCAACCTGCTCTTCTGATGGCCAGAGGCACGTCACAGGAACCCCTACCTTGTGTCTGAGCCTCCGGCATAAAACGCTTGTCCTTCTTCGTCATTACTGTCAGCATTTTCTATTGCCCGCACACTTGACAGGGAACTGATGTTTCTCCTACAAAGTAAAAATTCTTACTTATCAGTCATGTCAACATTTTGAGTAGCAATCACTTAAAATAGGCTTACTTCCTGTGTTCCACCTATAAAGGACTTTTTACATAGTTACTTATAATAATATACAGACAATTACCTGTGACCAAAAAACCAAATTTTTACCAGCTGATGGATTACCAAACTCTCTAAGATTAAACTATAACACCACACTGTGTGCACAAAGCTCCTGCCTATAATTAAACCTTTCACTCCCTGGGGTGATCAAGACAGAAGTTCTCCTTACAATATCAATAGAATATCAAGCAGACAAGTGATAAGAATTAAGAAAAAGATCAGTTAGGGGATTATCTAACCCCAAATTCTCTGAGCTAATGTCATAAGAATCATATTGGCCATTTCAAAAACGAGTGGGGGAGTAGGTTGAGTTCGCCACGCAAGGTTGTCTGGGATCGTTACTCGGGACGCAATTCTTTGTTTACTTCAGATTTGTGTCCCGAGTAATGATCCCTGACAAACTTTCGCAGCGAGCTCGACCTACTCCCCCACTCGTTTTTGAAATGGCCAATTGCAGACGGTAGGAAGAATTACTTAAGAGACCGGGCTCAACCACAGACTAGTAGAAATTCAGTTTTGGCTAATGTTGTTTGATTTCCACTGGCCAGTTTCGCTAGTAAACAAACTGAAATTATCATAACGTCTAAGATGTAACCAGCCACTTGGCTACTAAATTGAAAGGTTGGTGTCAAGCCCTGAAGAGGCCTTTGGATCGAAAGGAATAACAAACAACAAGTGGTTATTTTTTGCATCTTACCCTGTGGGAGTGTGCTTTGATCTGGTACTTGGCTGCTGCAAAAGGAAGTTAATAATATAATTAAAAAGTTTATAATGCCAAAGAATATTGGTTTAAAGGCAAGCATTTACATGTACCCATTTTGCTTTGCAGCCATTTAATGTAGTTTTCAAATGATGATCTTGCTTCTAGTTGGCTTGACTACACTCATTTTTCATTCCTATTATTGCCTCAAGAATTCAAACCTCTTCTAAAACCCACCACAATGCAGTCTTCCAAGTCTTGTATTTAACCTAGTTTGTGTAAACAATCCCTTATTTTAAACATTTCCATCAATTCTGCCTTTTTGTAATGTCTTCTATCTGTGACTTGATAGCTTTTTCCAGTTGTCAATATTTTGCAATCTCCTCGATTATTCGAAAAAGGTATTCAATCACTCAAAAATTCTTATAATATTATATACCGGCATCTCCAAGACTTCTTCAGGTGCTGCCTCTATGCCATCATCATCTCCCATTGTGTCATAAAAACTACTGAGAGCAACCTACCAAAAATAAAAACTTAAGCTATTTACTTCAACTTGCTGCAGATCATGCTGACACTACTGAATTATTTAAACAACCAAGACATTGTAATATCATTGTTTTTCATTTGTTTCTTTAGAAAATCAATGGCTGATTGTGCAAAAATAGAAAGACAGGCTTGCAAGCATTTCTAATATATAAATAATAAAAAATAAAAAGCTATCCAATTCAACTTGCTGCAGATCTTGCTGACAGCAATGAATGAACATGATTAACATTCTTGAATTATTTAAACAACCAAAACATCATGATATCATTGTTTTCCATTTGTTTTTTTTTACATAATCAATAGCTGATTAAACAAAAATTGAAAAAAAGGCTTTGCAAGCATTTCTTGGAAAAGTTGCTACCATGTAGCTTCACCAGAACAATATCAGAACTTTTCAGTAGGAAAGGAAAACTCATCAACCAGGGAACATTATTATTATTATTATTATTATTATTGTTCAATTTTTAAAACACTAAACTATCAGAGCTAAAATTAGAAGAACTTCATGGCAGACATTGGAGAAAATTGATATTGAGATATCGGGAGTATTGGCTTAATACAGTTGAAAACCAAACAACAGCACTTTGTCTAAACAAGGCCATATTTACAATATTGCCCATCATGAAAGGATACCACCACTGCCATATCAAAGTGATAAAAAGAAAGTGTTTTTGGCAAGAGAAAATGAGATGAAACAAATTCATTAAAAGCTTTCTGCAATGTGGCAAACATGACCATTTTGCGTGTGCTTGTTCCCCAAATCTGGCACTTATACCAATTATTTCAGTCTTATTCCAGTCTACACACAAGACAATGTTTGTCCCTTTACTTCAATTTTCATGACAGACCAGATGATTTGTAAGACATAACTGTTCCTTAGAATTCAATTTTCAATATCAGAATCAATAAATTGGATTAATAATTTCATTGATGTCACCCCTTTCAATATCAATATCAATGTATTTATTGATTAAACAAGATGGGATACTTGGCCATTTTCCAAGCAGTGTCGCTAGATTATTGTCTAAAATTGAATGATTCAATGGTAAAACAATATACAGAGTCCACGAGCGTATCGCTTAAAAAAGAAAGGTAGATTGAAAAGATTTCAGGTTAAAGTAACTTCAAACTAGTTTGACGAGTTTTTTTTTTTCCCTCCTTTTAAAGGCTGTAGCATTTGTAGCTAAAACAGTTTTGACCTGAGCTCCATTTTAAACGTAAAATTCATACATCAGCTGTGTCTGACAGAACGAGGAGGATTAAATTTTGATGGCTTGGCAGCTCGTCGGCTCGGAAGTGGAACTTCGTGCTTAACAGAATTTTGTTGAAGGGTTGTCGGCTGAGTCGATTGCGAACTTGACAAACAACCTGCCGCCAAGCCACTTCAGTGAAGTATTCCCTAAAGTGGCTGTCTATTATTAAGTCTTGCCTGGTTCACATATTATTTATTATAAATGATTGTATTGATTATTGACATCCTAAAGAAGGAAGTGCTAATGATATCTGAAACATAAACTGAAACCACGCTAAAACAGACTCAATAACCCATCAATGAAAAAAAAGAATCAGCTTTGTTACTCACATGAAGATCCCAGCCGGAGGATTCAAGATAAAACTGAGCGCGTTCTGCGTCAACATCAGTTACTCCGGTAAATTCAGCGACCAACCGATTTCTTTCTCCGTCCGCCATGTTGAATAGAGGATCACGTGTGATGTAAGATTGGAGACTGGGCGCCAATCAAGAGAACCCTTCCCTTTGACGTCAGCCCACCCCTTACACCAGAGGTTCCTGTGTTTGCGAGTACTCTCAAGTCGCTTGATCGCAGATTTAACTTGGCTGTTTCGATGCTACGGGCTGAATAACGACATAAGAGCGATCTGTCACGTGGAAGAAAACGTATCTGAGATGATCGTGGCACGAACGTGTGTTGGGTTGTGAATCAACAAGATAGCGATCGCTGTTTTAGTTGGGATCATTGTAGATTCTCAGACAAGCGCTCATATAACCTTGCATGTTCAAAGATGAGTCATTCCAATCCCAATCAACTAAGGTATATCAAGGTTTGATTGTTGTTAATTACAGCCTGATCACTTCTAATGGTTTCTGTGTAATTCTCTGTCATTTCAGTTGTTATTTGGGTCGCTTGTCACGTTTGGAAACTGATAAATTGTTGTTGGGAAGAAAGCCTGGAACTTTTCTTATTAGAGACAGCTCGTCCATTCCCGGAGACTTTGTTCTTGCCGTAAGGTAACTGCCTCTAGGTTCCTAATTTTCATTGTTTCCATGTCATTCTTTAAATGATTTTAAACTCTGATCGCGAAGCTATTTTTCAGCGGAAGGAAAAAATATGCGCTTACATAAGCAATCTTCATATTTGTGCACGCTTGTGGTCTCAGATAAGATTCCATTACAGAACGAGATTTTACAACGCGCTCATTGAAGTTTCCTCTTTAAACAAAGTTGACCACACGTTCATTTGTAACCGATCAGAGTTTGAGATCACTAAATCATGTGGTAGATAGTTACAAATCTAAATTGTACGTCAAAAGCCAACTCTTAAAACGGAGTTTTTGACGCAGTCCAGCGTTCACCAAAGAGGTTCGTGTACTTACATATATGACTATTTCTTTCGCCGTCTATACATCAACTGTATTTGCCCCATTACTATCTATTTGTTAAATTTTCAGACAAATATATTGGTCCGGAATTTAATATGGTGTCCTCAAATGTGTATCTATAAGCGAAAGTGTAATAACCAATGTTTCTATTTGGTGATGCGAGATATTACGGACAGTCAGTTGAAAGTGCAAGTCGATTTGTCAACGCTAAGAAGCTCTTTGTCAGCGTAGATGATGACTTCCTTGAGCAGATTCACATGAAAAGTCTCAAGAACAAGGTTATTAAAAAAAATCTGTATTTTTCGCTGTTGGAAGCTCTCGCACGATTCATTTCATTAAAGTATAGGTTTTGCCAAACAGGAAGTAATTTAATGCAAATGTTAATGACAATATGTGATAGCTATGTATTGCAATGTTTTTTAATGGAACTCATTTTCTGTTTGTCAATAAGTTGGTCCACATGGATATTTAAACAACAACTGATTAAAATGCAAATAAGACAAGGAAAAATCACTGTTGATTATTTAGCTGTACATTTTCATAATCTCTTTGAAGTGTAACAAATGGTATTACATTTCCTCAATTGATGCAGTTTAAAACATCAGATAAGCATGACTCGAGTATCTGTTACTTGTGCATGAAAGAAATTGGTTTAAAGCTTTTTTAGGCTTTGCACACATGGCTCTTAGAATTTTGCTCATAAGTTTTTAAGTGTGAGTGCAGCATAAACTGTCATATGTTAATGCAAGAATTTGGATGTTTCCGGGTAAAATCCTAACTCACATAGCACAAGAGTTTGAATTACCAGTTTGGCAGTAAATGAGGATTTCAGATTTGCAAAGAGTGATCTCTTACCCTAAATTAACACAGAATGCCAATTAAAAATAAGATAAAAAAGAGGGAGACTAAGACATCCTTAGGGATAAAAATTATTATGAAGATATAGCTGGAAAGTGCTGAAAATAGTTCATGTTGGATGATATAAATAATATAATATATAAATAATTTATTTCTTTAGCGCTTTTTGCTAACGCCCAAATGTGCTTTCCAGTGTCAAATTATTATACCTAACCTACACACTAGGAAATGTAAAAAAGTCCTAAGAATCGAAAAAATCAAAAGTCTAAAAGTCCTAAGAATCAAAAAAGAAGTAAAGATTGAAAGTCTAAAAATATGCGTGTTGAAAAAGATAGGTCTTAAGCTTAGCTTTAAAAATAGAGACAGATGCACTGCTTTTAATCTCAAATGGTACCGAGTTCCAGAGGCAAGGCGCGCATACTGAGAATGATGTTTAAGAGAGAATACCTTTGTAGTTATCCTTTCATGTTTTAATGGAACTGTTGAAGTTTGTAAGCTAGCTTCTCAAAGTGCTCTTCCCTTTGAGAGGTAATTTAAGTACAGGTACAGGTTTGTTGACATTTAAGGGGCTCTTGAGTTTGAGTATGCATATATTTTTTTTTTCATAATTGTTTTTACCCTTTTGCTCCCAAAATCTCATTTATTTAGCAATTCTTTTTACTCTCTGTGACACAACTCTTCTAGTACTGAGAGAATTTGGTATTGGATCAACCAATAATCGCATAATTTATATTTTTCTGTATTCTCATCACTTGTCTGTGTGATATTGTATTGATATTTTAAGGAGAAATTCCGTCTTGGTCACCCATGGGAGATAAAGAGTTAGTGTTTTGTTAGGAAGATCTCATGCAAGAAAGGTCACAACACTTGATTAAAAACTTGCTCATACAACTGAATCTTTTTTTTTTTTATAAAAGTCAGTGAATTAGGCCTTGATTGGCTGCATCTAGGTCAGAGCTGTTTTGATTCAAAGTCTGTGAGAATGAATTACAAACTTAAGAAAATATGATTTTGATACTAGCACTGCCCTGAGATGAACGCCAATCTTTGAGGGGACACTGCATCACAAAAGCAAGAAATTTAACAAAGGCCACAGCATGTATCAGGTTCAATACAGTATAACTGTATGCAAGATAATTATGTACCGTAGTTATTCGACTATAAGCCAAGCCATTTTTTCACAAAATTTTACCAAAATCTCGAAAATTTGAGCTGGAGAAGGGTTCTCGGTTTATAGCGGAGTGTTTTTTGAAACAGCAAATTCAAAGGAAACCTAGATATATTCGTCTAGAAGCCGAGATATTGCATGCAGAAACAAGTTTAAGTTGGTCATTGACTTTAAATGTGTGGCTGCTTCCAAAGGAGCAGTTTGTTGTTTTCGGTGCATAGTAAATACAGCTTATTGTTCATCCTCAGTGTCGGCGTGGAATTCGCCGTCCATCTCCTCCTCATCTGCAAGTTCTGCCATTTATTCCGAGTAGGTTGGTTCATCTTCCATGCTGTCTAGAGTATCAGAGATTCTGCAGGTTTTGAACAACTGTACAGAGTATGCGAAAGTGTTTTAAAAATTTCGAAACTGACCAATCAGGATTGCCCATTTCCATGATTGGTAAACAAACTCGTCAATCATCACATGTTACGGTGTTGAAATTTGCTATCATGTAAAAAGAAAACTAATCTTGGCTTCTCTGCTCTGTAAACTAATCAAGTAATCTCTCATTCAACCGCGGATATTTCTGAGTGTAACGGCCCATCGTTGTGCGTTTCACTGACATCTCGAGCTCTCCATTAAAGAGATTCTCTTGATCTTCCTCTAGCCACTCACTGATGTCATCGACGACTGTACTCTCTGGTTATCTCGGAATGTGTTTTCAACGGCAATACCGCATTGAAACTCTTTTCTGTTTCGAAAATTTTGCGATCATTTCAGTTTGTTTGAGAATAGAATTCTCTGAATGTGGTCTGGGCTTTTTTTTTCGTAAAGCTTTTGCCGACTATCATGTCTCATGAGTTTAGGGTCTCGGCTTATAGCCAAGGTTGGCTTATAGTTGAATAACTACGGTACAAAACTCCTAAGATCTGTTACAGAATTCTCCCTTTGAGCTGCCGTATGTTTCCTTATAAGTTATTATAGATGATGTAATGCTATCTCAAGATTAAAACCCCTTAGTTGGTAAAGTTACCCTTTGGTATTTCTTTTTTGTTGGAAACTGTTGTTTTGATAATGAAAGGGGAACTTACATGCAAATTTTTTTCTGGAAATTAAAGGGATAGGAAGTAGAAAATAGTTCAGGTTCGATACAGTTTACCGGTATGTGAGTGAAAATAAACTGAGAGATTATTATTTACAAAACTCCTAAGATCTGTTACAGTATTCTTTCTTTGAGCTACTGTTTGTTTCCTTGTAAGTTATTAAAGATGATTTAATGCTTTTCCAAGATTAGAACCCCTGAGTTGGTAAAGTTACCCTTTGGCATTTCCTTTTTGTTGGAAAAATGTTGTGTTGATAATGAAAGGGGAACTTACATGCAACTTTTTTCTGGGAATTAAAGGGATAACAAGTAGAAAATAGTTATAGTTTAAGCACGAGATTCTCAAAAGTAACATACATAAATTCTAGATGTGAGTTAATCTTACCATATAAGGTAGTAGGTATCATCAACAAAGGTAAAAGTGAAGGCCAAAATTGTTGCCAAAATTGTTCCCAAAATTGGGGATTGAGGGGATAAGAATTAGAAAATAAAGCTATTTTCTTGTTTGAGGATGAGATTCTTAGAAGTATCCTACATAAATTCCAGATGTGAGGCAATCTTACTCTATAAGTCAATAGATTTTGCCAATGAGGGTAAAAATAAAAGTCAAAAATACTTATACATGTTTGTGTCCAATTTCCCCCGATCAAATACTTAAAGTATATGAAATTCTACTTTTCAGCGAAGGCGGAAAAGTCAGCCATTACATAATCAACAGTAAAGGAAGCCAATATCAGATAGGAGAAAACACTTTTCCAGATCTTCATAGTATTATAGACTTTTACAAGAAACATTTCCTAGATACAACAAACCTACAGGAGCCAGTAAGTTATCTGTTGTTGTTGTTGTTGTTGTTGTTATGTATACTGTCAATGTGCAGTAACTCTTAGACTTTTAATTGGAGAACCTTGTTGTGTTTGGTGAATTTAGAACTCTTTTATTCTTCCAAATTTACTTGACAATGGAATAATTGCTCTCTTGTTTTGTAACCACCCAGAGAATTTCAAAACCATGAATCACTTTGACATGGTGTCAGCTGACATTTTTTTTTCTTTAGCAGCTCTAAGTCAACATGAGCTCTTTAACTCCTTTGATTTTTTTTCAATCATTTTTTCACTCGTTCATTCATTCATTCAACATTCACTAGACTAGATACAATGAATATATGAAGTTCATATATTTTGAACTGCGGTTGTAGATATGTATGATGCACGATCCTCGCAGTAGAGAGCGCTATTTATGCAATAGTGAAAATCAGACCTAAAAAAAATTAAGGCCTGTACAGGATTCGAACCGCTGACCTCTGCGATACTAGTGCAGCGCTCTACCTATTGAGCTAACAAGCCAACTGGGAGCAGGCCGTTAAGTTGATTCGTAATAAACCCGTGATGGTAAATCAGATACAATAAATATATGAAGTTCATATATTTTGAACTGTGGTTGTAGATATGTATGATGCACGATCCTCGCAGTAGAGAGCGCTATTTATGCAATAGTGAAAATCAGACCTAAAAAAAATTAAGGCCTGTACAGGATTCGAACCGCTGACCTCTGCGATACTAGTGCAGCGCTCTACC